TTACACAGGACTCAGCACACTGACACCTTTGCGCTGCTCGTTACTGGCTACCGCACTCATTACGACCCCCCCCCTCTCCTGGCGGCCAAATACGACCCCCTTATGGGGATTCCCCAACCAATGATGTGCCCTGGGTGTATGTCGTTAGGCGCGGGCGGATTGCCATTGGGGCGCATCGGTAGTAATTGACACTCCCAGTCCGAGTCTTTGGTGAGAGTCACAAAAATTTTTCGCTGAAATATTGCCCACAGAGGTCTTCTAGTGTCCTAATTACGAATATAGCACTCGCTTTCAGCGCTGGCGCCAAATTGACGTCGCCTACTTTCTCACCAGACTCGATGTAAATTTGTATTGTAGGGTTACTTGACGTCTTGATCACGAAAAACGCATAAGTTTTCAGCTCTGACGTCATTAAGCGCCAACACTTCTACCAAAATCTATAAAAAGCTGCATAGTGGGGTTGTTTGCTGCTCTGATCACGAATATGACATTTATTTTTTGACAATGGCGGCATTTACTGCTCTTCCAAGAATGAGCAGGAGAAGGATTGATTCCTTTCAGGCCAGGCTCAGACCTTAGCAGAGCGCAGATGATCGTAGTGTCTTCCATCAGCGCCAGCGCCAAAAATGAATGTGATATTTGTAATCAAGATGTCAAATAACCTCCGTATACAAGTTTTCAGCGGATTTAGTGACCTAGGGTATTTTGGCGCCGGCGCCTGTGGCGCAGGCGGCAGGCAGCTTCAGGTCAGTGGATATGATATTCGTGTTCAGGAGTTCAGATTACATAGAACCCAACCTTCACCCAAATATGGCCCCGTGGGAAAAAGTCGATCAAAATCCGAACCCGCCTGTTTCCGAAAAACTGCAGTAGTAATAGTTGAGTAGGGACGAAATATCCCCTCTTTTTGCACTGCGCAGACTGATCTATGAAAGGCGAATAGATTACAATTCAGCTAAAAAGTATGCACGCGTTATTCCCATATTCCTTCCTGTACTCAAACCAAGTTTGCAGATTGATCGTAAACATTATTTTGTAGCATTTTCCTATACCTTCTAACAATGCATGACACTTTAGGTTTCTTCTTGTTCAAATCCTTCCTCCGAGGGCGGTCTCCGTACGACTCCCTCTCACAAGGAAAGGCAAAAAAAAACAGAAAAAAGCCAAGGAATGCCAGAAAATCGAATAATTGAACTTTGAGAGTTCGCGCACGTTCAGAAGCTAGGTTAAAGCGCGTTTTCTGTCGCGGTACTACAGAAAGCTATTTCGCGAGTTCTTTTCAAAATAAGCCAGAAACTCCGAGTACTGTTTTTTGAACACCCATTTCTTTGAGAGTGGAACCTTCAGGTTTGCTTCTTCTTACCTGCACTCAAATGCATTCAAACCTCTCTTCTTCAATAAAATGTCCCATCGTCATACCGTTGATGAGTTTTAGTGTCACCTATGAGTTTTCATGTTCTAAACAGTCATAACTTCATTGTTCGGATCGTAGAAGACTTCCACTTCCTGCAAAGCACCCTACTTCTCCCAGACCCGCAATTAAAAAAAAACCCGTTGTGTTTTTAACGCGTTTACTCCAGGTGGCTTTGAAGACAGCTCCCGCGATAAGAGTGTCTTGGATAGTTGCTTTGTAATTATGAAACAATATGATAAGTAGTTCCAAAAGAAAAAAAACAATAAGAGTCTTCAACAACACTTACAAAAAAATGCTCCTTGGCAGTGCAACTTTTTCCCTCTTTTTTTTGCAGGTTCTCTGTGCAAACCCCTGCTCACAATTTCCTTTATCACATCTCCCAGTAGTGGGTGTCATCCAATGCAATGAAAAGAATACGAAAAACAACAAAACACGGAAGGAAAACTCTTGAAAAGGAAAAGAAACTTCTTAAAACTAGGTGCCTGAATTTAGGGTTAAGTAGCGTGCATTTAGTGTAGTGTGGTGCGTCCTTTTGCACCACGAAAATTGGGTCGCTCGTGATTTTTACGCGTTTCACCTTGCAAGATGGGTTGGAGTTGACTGTATGTAAATCCTACTAAATAAAATGTAATAAAGGAGAGCAGAACCGTTCATGGGCACGAGCGCGGTCAGCAAAAAGGGCATGCAATTCCGATTAATGCCCGCCGCCCCAACAAAGAACAACTGAGCGGCTCTCCGTCAGAGGGCATCTAGCAAGTGGGCGGTCCAACTGGGCGGGCGTTAGAACTAGAACTTTCAGCGGCTGTAGCTCGCTCCTCGCTCGCTGTGGAGTCGCGAGAGTGGGACAGTCTAGCTTGGGGGCTGAACTACTTGCACAAGGAAGGACGACCATGTACTACTCGAGCGCGGGGGCTGTCTTTATGGATGTTGCCATTGCAATGAAGACTGTTTCGGCAAGCATAGTGGCGCCGATGAACCCACTGTAAATATTGCAAACTGTACTCACTATATACGAACACTCAGCTTAACAAGAATGATTTGTCTGATGATTATGACCAACCATTGTTTCAGATGGAGCAGACAATCTGGACAGACCCACTACGAGCAATATGACTGATTTCTGAACAGCCATGAGGCAAATGCGGGAAGGAGATTTAACTCACAATGCGCAGCTCACGCGTTTCTACCTAGTCGACGCGGAATAAAGCCAGTTTTACTCCTCAGACGTAAGGAATCATGGGAACTGTCCCCCTCAAAACGCAACCTAACCATACGGCGCCGAGGCAGATCAGCCAAGGTATGTTTCCACCGATGGCAGTTTGTATTTGGGGAAAAGCACTGGAAAGTGGTAGGAAGTTGAGAGATGGGGGAAATGCTAAGGGGGTAGCGAAGGGGGTCGTACCAGAGGAGGAACTTCGGAAGTTCTGACGGGGTCGTACTTTGAAAGTTTTCTCTCTAACGGCAGGACGTGTCCTCCCATTCATTTCGCTCGTAGAAAGGACCGTTCTCTCGCGTGAGTGTGCAGTCTTCGTCCTCAAAGAGATTTGACATGCAGAGGGATTGGCTAACTCGTCCACGTGAGGTGCGCCGCACGTTCGACCTCGACTCGAATTTCTGCTCGTATTCACTTCAAAGGCGAAAGCCGATAAACGTAGCAATTCCATCTCGAGGATATATAATAAAAAAAGCTTTGTCGCAAAATTGGGTCATCCACACAACCACTTCATTAGCTCAACTTATAACCACTATCTCGCACTCATTTCTCACAACTCTTGACTACTGAATCCTACAAACACGGCGCTTCCCTCCCCCCTGCTTCGGTAAGTAATCCTCCACGGATGCTTGACCCTGCCCCGGAAATAGGAAGCGCCTCTTTCATTACTGACCCTAAGCTACAGTTCCATTGTTGATCTCCAGTGAAGGGTTTGCTTGTGCATCAGCTCACCAGCATTTGTAACAGGCACTTGCGCGCTCTAGCGCCACCTTCTGTCCCGTGGCGAAATTCAGCGAAAATTTTCTGCGCTTCATTCAAAATTCACTGTTTCTCTTTTTTTCCTTTTCTGCAAAGCTTTTACGTGAGAGTGTTGCGTCGTGTTGTAGGAATTTTGTTTAGTCCCAGCCGCAGTCCCCCTACGCTCCGTCCGCTCGCGCTCCTACGCAAGTGTTTTTGTGGAAAAAACTGGATAAAGTTCTTGAAAACTAGAATAAAGTGCTGTGAGCGTTGAGAAACTTTAAGCGCAGATGATAGGTGGGATATAGAAGGGGTTCGTACCAGGGAGAAACTTTAAGGTGAGATCGTATTCTGCAGAATTTTCCCGAGTAAAATGGCGTACCCTGCTAGAATGCTGTCATTTCACCAGTGTTGGACGGTTATCGCGTTTGGCTGCATATATTTCTTCAAGAATTTCAGTATTTCGCATGAGACTCAACAATGACATCGAAGACTTGCTCCATCTGCGGCTCCACGCAGACGACGATTATGGACGGTTTAATGTACTGTGCGACATGCGGAACCCAGATATTCGTAAGTTAATTTGTAGTGACGGATCTTTGATTCTCCACCAATGCACAGGTGGGGGGAGGTAGAAAGAGGTCAAGGGGCTAACGTATTTGGGGGGACCAAGCGGCGCGCTGCGAGCGATGAATCATCTGCTCTTCTGCTTCTTCCTCGGCGAGATAATGTTCAAAACAGCCCACAGATGGTTCCCGGCATACTTGAAGCGCGAATCTAGCAGCTATTCAGAAGAAAGCAAACAAGATTCACCGGGAACTTGTTGAGAAATCATACAGAAGCGGAAAAAATGGACTTCGAGTAACAAGCTGAAGTGAATTGGTGAGGTGAAATTGTGATTCTATTGCGAGGAAACCGCTCAAGATTCAATTTCTGCGATTTGATAGTGAGATATTGGATTTCTCTTTGGATTCTGCGGACCATCCAATTTAATTAATAGTGTCACTTTTACGCAAACGAATGGGTTCACCTAGGCCGGAATTCATTCCCTTGTAGTTTAGGCAAGAATCTTCCAGCCTACTATTGTTTCTTCGCACTTTTCAGCATTAACTGTTTTACCTTTTGAATATAGCACCTTAGGGCGGTGTTATATTCATGTCCTAAACATGAAATTACCTCTATTTTGCCGAGTAGGGAGCTGAATGAGCTGTTAATGGCGCTCATTCTATTATCCATATCATGATCGTTCACCTTTTCTCTAACTTTTCTGTGGTGTATTGGTCAAAATTAACCGAAAAGGTTTTTTTTGAGCACACAGTACCTTCCTATGAAGCGAAACAGATTTAGGCAGAAGATTTACAGGATTTTCGTGAAGTAGAAGCGGACGATGATGGGATTGTCTGCGGTACTGCAAAGGTGAGGACCAAGAAATCGAGAGAACTTCTTGACAAGTCGAAGGCGAGCACTTCTGGGGAAGATCTGTCCACGTCATCAGGCCGAAAACGACGCAAGGTATATTCTTATTTCTTTTCCTTTTTATACGAGCATCTTTCACTTTCTAGTGTACAGTCCATATCACAGGCAAAAAGAGGCGTTTCCGCGTACTCTCGGCGACACCTGCACCTGCTAGTGGTCACTATTCGCTCAAGCACACTTCACA